ATATCCAGCTACAGCCTGTCAGAGCCTTCTGTGTCTAATTAAATATAGATTCAAAACAACTACCTCACAATCTGTCTGCACATGGTATTTCAGTGTGGTAATGCTGGCCAATGACACAGAGCCTCCCCACACACTTTCACTCCCCCTACACAGTCACCCCACACACACACTTACCTCCCCTCACTCTGTCACACAATATAAACACAGCTCCTTATACACACACTGCAACATAACTACAGTTCCTTATACATACACAGTGCAATATAACTACAGCTCCTTATACACACATAGTGCAATATCACTACAGCTCCTTAAACACACAATGCAATATAACTACAGTTCCTTATACACACACTGCAACATAACTACAGCTCCTTACACACACACAGTGCAATATAACTACAGCTCCTTATACACACACAGTGCAATATAACTACAGTCCTTATACACACACTGCAATATAACTACAGCTCCTTATACACACACAATGCAATATAAATACAGCTCCTTATACACAGTGCAATATAAATACAGCTCCTTATACACAGTGCAATATAAATACAGCTCCTTATACACAGTGCAATATAACTACAGCTCCTTATACACACACAGTGCAATATAACTACAGCTCCTTATACACACACACTGCAATATAACTACAGTTCCTTATACACACGCAGTGCAATATAACTACAGCTCCTTATACACACACAGTGCAATATAACTACAGCTCCTTATACACACAGTGCAATATAACTACAGATACTTATACACACACTGCAATATAACTACAGTTCCTTATACACACACAGTGTAATATTAATACAGCTCCTTATACACACACACTGCAATATAACTACAGTTCTTTATACACACACAGTGCAATATAACTACAGCTCCTTATACACACACAGTGCAATATAACTACAGCTCCTTATACACACACAGTGTAATATAACTACAGCTCCTTATACACCCACAGTGCAATATAACTACAGCTCCTTATACACACACAGTGTAATATAAATACAGCTCCTTATACACACACAGTGCAATATAACTACAGCTCCTTATACACACAGTGCAATATAACTACAGCTCCTTATACACACGCAGTGTAATATAAATACAGCTCCTTATACACACACAGTGCAATATAACTACAGCTCCTTATACACACAGTGCAATATAACTACAGCTCCTTATACACACGCAGTGTAATATAACTACAGCTCCTTATACACACGCAGTGTAATATAACTACAGCTCCTTATACACACGCAGTGTAATATAACTACAGCTCCTTATACACACAGTGCAATATAACTACAGCTCCTTGTACACACACATTGCAATATAACTACAGCTCCTTATACACACACAGTGAAATACAACTTCAGCTGCTTGTTCACACAGAATGCTAATTTTATTTATTTTCACTATGGGTGTTAGTGGCCTACAGCCTCAGAAAGTCTATAGCTGCCACTGACTGCAGGGTCTATACACTAGAACTGCTTCATTAAGCAAACGTTGTTTTTATGCCAATAGTATCCCTGTAAGTGTTTAGTTCGGTGCTTTTGTGAGTGCAAGTATTTATGTATGTGTTTGTCTGGCTTGTTCTGTATGTCTGTATGTATTTGGTTGTTTGTGTTTACATTTATTTTTTTGTCTGTTTGTCAGTCGGTGTACGTGTTTGCCTATTTGTGAATGTATGTTTGCATACATTTGCGTAAGTTTGGCAATTGGTATAATAAACGTATTTATGTATGTATGTGTTTGGTTATTAAAACCTGTTCATATTTAAAGGGGAGCTCTCACTTCCCAGGTTAATATTCCATTTACGTCTCCCTGACTCACTGTATGAACATCTACTAACATGTACCTATCTTGTGCAGTCTAAAATAAAAAATTAAAAACAAAGTTATTTCTATGGAATAAGAATGAATTAATGAACAGAGAACTGGTAATTCCTTCATTTATAAATATTTGTGACATTTCATTTGTTTTTGGGCAAATAATAACTCATAACCTCCTGTACTACAAACATTAAATTATTTCCCACCCACTTATCCATCAGGGATTTACTGCTTATTTTACCCCCAAAATGAGCTTTATTCTTTATTGTATTTCAAATCTCCCCGCACTGTGTGTATAATTATAATGTATTCTAAATACAACAGGGAGAGAAATCT